TGTGTCAATCCCATTTGTGGAAAGGATAATTTAGATTCCTTAATCGAGAGTCTTCTCGGGCTCCAGCCTGAGATTTAATTAACCACGGGGACTTGCACCCGTGGAAAACTGAATTCCACCATCTAATAAACCCCACTCGAGCTGATGTATCGAGTGGGGGAAAACCCGTAACTTTGATCAGGTCACATATATTATTACCCATCGGGGTACGCTGGCGAGAGCTGCTATCCTCAATGGTTAGTCATACGTACGATCTAATTTGCCCTTCCATTAGCCCGCTTGCGAGGAGCGCGGAGGCCTGCGATCGTCACTATCCCTCGGGGTAGGTGCGGTCGTATACCCCTCTATAATCCTGCAGCCATAGTGGTGTCCTTTCAGAGGTCCATAGTGGCAAGACAAATGACATATGCTATAAATATTTGAAGGTTTTGTAACCTTTGGAAATCAATTCAATTTTTGGGGTTAGAAATGTCAGATTGGGTTCAAATTTGTATGGTTGACCCAGATAATGAATTAGAGGTCATTTGGCATGGTTTTGAAATGATTGAGAAATCACCCAGAAAGGGTTTTAGGACATAGGCCTCTACCCCTAGATTTTGGTCTTAAACTTTAGATTTGGACTGGGATTTAGGCTTGGCTGATTGAATTTGGATTATCCAAACCAATTACATTCAAATGAATGATTGTAGTTAACTGTATATGATTGAAGCTGGATTAAGGGCTAGATTGAAGGTTGATTGAAGGTAGGATTGAAGATTCAAATGAAAATATATATATATATATATTAAGGTGAAAAAAAAAGATCAACCATACATGCTATCAAAGCAGAGCAACATAAAGGTTCAACTAGCCCTAAAGATATCACAGCCTACCATCAAAGATGAAAAGGTCGTGCACCTAAATGTAGATGGCCAGCGAGTTGGACGGATCCATATGTGAAATATTTGAAGACTAAAAAAGTAATCATTTATGTCATTGACTCAAGGTGATTCAAAATCAACTATGATATAATATAATGTATGTTATTTAAGAAATCAATCTCCTCCCTTAACTTATACCATGTAAAAGAAGATAGAATGAGAAGATGCTCAGCGAGATACATTCAGGTGAGTGTCAGAATCTCTCAAAAGCAAGGACACTTTCCCACCGAATCATAACAAGGATACTTTTGGTTGAACCGTTAAACAAATGTAGAAGTATTTCCAAGATTGTGTTCATTATGCCAAAAGTTTATGCCCATGAAGATGCAACCATCACACAAACTTCAACCCGGTAACAGAGCATTATGAAGGATGGATCTATGTGCTAACTATGCTTGTTTTAGTTCTTTTTGTTGGGAAGATTTAGATTTCAATAAGATCCCTCCTTTTATCAATTTGATAAAAAAGGAGTCGGATGCTTGTAGGTTGTAATAACTGTAGTTTCTTTTCTCCTTCAATATTAAGCTAGTTTGCTTGGGGTTTTCAAAAAAAAGTGGGAAAAAGGAGTTCATTCTAGTTATGTTAGTTTAATTTGCCATGTAGATAGAGTCCAATACACTAACTAAGATCATTTTTTAGCCCATAAAAAAATTTTACTTAAGATATAGTATATTACTGTCAAAAAATATTTTGTTAATATTCTTTGAAAGACCCCATCTAATCCTAGAATAATATTTTACTCAATTTTTTATTTTCAGCCTCTTCATCTTAAAGTCCAAAACTAATAAGCGATGTTGGGTACATAAACTTTTGCTCATAATAACTTTACAATTTTTGTATTCTAGACGATCTATTTTTTTTATAAGAAAATAATCAATCTGAGTTTTACTATATCCATTCTTATAAGTGATGAGATGCTCATATCTTTTCTTAAATAAGTTATTAGCAATTACAAATTGATAAGCTAAAAAAAATTCTAATATAGTCTTACCATCTTCATTAGTCGCTCCAAACTCAAGTCACTATGAATACTTTTAAAATCGTCTATCTCTCAACCTACATGTCTATTTAAATCTCCTCTAATAAAACTTTTTTTTTCTTCAAGAGATATCTTTTGTATTAATTTTTTTAAGTCATTCCAAATTTTTAATTTAGAACCCACATCCAAATCTACTTGAGGAGCATAAGCAATTATAATATTAATAATCGTAGCATCAACAATAATCTTTGAAGCTATCATGCCCTGATAATGTCTATATTGATAGAAAATCTCAGCCGAAGGGATCTGCATAAAATTCAAAGAAACACCCCAGATAGACCTGTCAATATTGGACCCGACCCGAAAACCCGACCCGAACCCGACCCGAAAATTTCGGGTTCGGGTCAACCCGAACCCGAACCGGGTCAGGTTCGGGTTAGAGATTTCGACCCGTTTGTAAAACCGGGTCGGGTTCGGGTTGACCCGGAAACCCGAAATCGACCCGGTTTGACCCGTTTTTAATTAATTTTGGAGGATTTTAATGAATTTTTATGAAATAAGTAAATAATATTTCAAAAAATTATAAATATTATTGCCCAAATTAAATTAATCTTGATTTATTTTACATGAATTGAAGTAAATCTACCCTTAATTTGATTTAAATTTAAATAAAATGAATTAAATAAAAAAATTTTAATTAAATATACCCGAAGCGGGTCGGGTTCGGGTTCGGAAAATCGACCCGTTTGCAAAAACGGGTCGGGTCGGGTCGGGTTGAACAGTGTCGGGTCAATTTCGGGTTGGACCCGAACCCGACCCGTGACCCGTTTTTGACAGGTCTAACCCCAGAGCTCAAAGCTAATTGTTCGGGGCTCATGTTTAAAGAAAAATCTCAAATCTACTATTCTTTCAAAATAAAAAATACTTAATCAAAATAAAACACCTAAAAACAATCTTAAAAAAAAAGCATCTATCTTCTGAAATTGTTTGTCGAATGTGATAAATTTGAAAATAACTTCAACTAAAATAAATAAATAAATGTTTAGTCGAGAATATTTCTAAAATTCATTCTGAAATCTCTCTTATGAGTAATGACGTGATTTGAGTCCTCTAATTGATGAATTTGCTGTCAAATGACACCAAAGTTTAACGATTATGATCGAGGCCCTCTGATCATATCCTTTTGCCGTAAAAATGATGCCACTAATATCCATCCCATTTTCAACCATGATCTCATTAACACTGAGGATAGGTGCATGGTGCCACAACGACTCACAAATTTTTGTCATTCTCAGGATTTAGTAGGTGAAATGCATTGACAACTCATTGGTGTATTTCACTAAATAGACCTCATGTGAACATGATCACATTGATTATGGGCCTCTTGAAAAAAGTTAAGGCAACATGCACTTCTTTGGTAATTGTTAAATCTGCATACTCTCAATTGTTGAGATGGATTTAGGTTTCATTTGGAATAGCGTTCTTACTGTTTCTGAAATATTTTTTATTACAAATTTTTTTAAAAACACTAAGAAAATAGTAGCACAAAACTATTCTAAATGAAGCCTTAAACTAATTATTGTATTACTTTCTGCTCTGCATTTTATTGTGATATCAAATGTTGAAGATTCATTTTTATTATATATAAAAAAAGCTGAAAATTCAATTTCAAAATTTCAATTCCAATATCACGTAGAGACGATGAACATTTTCTTTACTAATTCCTTGATAGGGTGATAAGTGAGTGAGTATATTATATCAATCATTTGTTATTGATTCATTTGTTCATTTATATTCGTGTATAATTATATTCATTTTTTGTTTAACAAATAATTCACTAATTACTTAAGAAATGGTCCACTTAATAATTATTTTATTTTTTATTTGATTTTCTATTTAGTTATTTTATGTTCGTTTTATTTAGTTAGGCTCCATGGCAATATTCAAACTAATTAAAATATTGATAAATAAATTTGAATGGCAGTTTAATTATATAGTAATGTTCCCACTCAAAATCAAAATTGATAAAAGATATATAAATTATTGGACTTAAATAAGATTATAATAAATTAGACCCATCTCATTTATGCCTCAATTCACTAACTGAGCAAATGTTGTTGTGCCTTAGAGGCTATTCGGTAAGGTTTTGAGATTGTTAGTATTTAATTTAAAGTAAAATAAATAATATAAAATTTTGTTGTATTTGGAATGAGCCATTCAATGCAAATTTGATATATTTGAAATTCAATCTATTTGGATGATTTTCAAATATAACATAAATTCATCGCTATTGCTACTGCCCACCACCACCACCGCCTCCACTTGTGCCAATTGTGATCTGCTACCACCCACCACCATCATTCAACAATGCTAAAATGCTGATTTTTTTTGGGCTGTTTAGGGATTGAACGGGAGCCGGCTGGAGGCATTGCCTGCGCTAAACCACTAAGCTGCTCCTCACGTCCCATATTGTCCATTTAATTTGATACCAAGAAAATGCCTCATGTTCAATGATTGTTTGTGAAAGAGGTTTGATGTTAAAAAAGGGCATATATATTTTTTGCTTTTGTAATCAAATATTGTGTAGGACATTTGATGATGGATTAGAAACTCTGTTGGGCTGAAGAAAAAAGGTTAGTCAGAAATCTCTTGGAATCATGGAATGATGAAATGAGATTCAATGAGTTTTATGAAGAGACCATGGACTTTGACTAGATTTAAAATATGTTTAGTTGTGCTTTACATCGATGGAAGCTAATTTAAGGTAGAAGATGAAAGAATAAAGCGCTTCATTGAGTGATTTTAAGAGAGAATGATCTTGGATCAAATTTACAATATGTTCAATTATGTTTAATCATAGTATATTTAAGCTTCATTTGGGATAACTTTCTTACTGCTTTTGTACTAGAAAGTTATTTTAAGAACAAATAAAAAAGCTATTCCAAATAAAATCTTAATGAGAGGGAGAAATTTTGATCCAAAGTATTTATCATAAACTTTAGCTTATATAACATATTTTTCATTCAAAAGTGTAAATTTTTTCTCCAAATTAAACGAGTAAAAAAAGTATTTATCCAATTATTTTGTCTTTCAACCAAACAGAACCCTACAATAACTTAGTTCCATTGATGCAGATAAGTAATTGTACAATATATTTAATAAAATTCTAATTATAAGTTGCAACATATTCCAACACAAATTTCATATCAAAATTGACGTATGCTGCAGGTAGTGTCCTGCATGGATTCTGTTATTTAGTTAATGCAAATAGAAGAGAGATCTTACCCGTCAATATGCGCTACTTGCATCTCATTTGATGTTCTCTTTGATTTGTGTTTTGATTTCTTCTCCCTCTTTTTACCACTGCAGAGATTCAGGAAGAAAAGAGTGAACTATATAGGCATTAAGAAATTTAAAGATTAGAAATATCAATAGATCTGTAGTAAAGCTGTGTAGTACTCGTCCTGCGCGCTTGGATCCAAACAACTTCGTAATTTTCTATCTATATGCCTCATATCTTTTGCCGTGGGAATAGCAACTTTGCCAACCTTGAATAACCAAAAATAAAATAAAATCATGAATTGTTTGATATAGAGCACATTATAAAGTATAGGGAAAATTTGACAAAATCATCTAATTACCAAAAAATCGATTGCATTAAGAGATTCAATGAGCTGAGAAGCATTGGGAGATTGTCGGGTAATAATTCTTTCCAAATATCTGAGAACATAAATATGAATTAAAGGAAGACAATATAAGAACTTAAAAATCTTTCAGCAAGTCGAATAAATGGTTTGAAGAGAGGAGGAATATGAAAATTATGCAAAAGGCAATATGGGTGAAGTTGAAAAACCTTTCAAAATCGATAACATTGAGCACCTCATTTGAGTTGCGCAGGGCTGACAATGCTAACTGCGCATATTGCAAAGAATGAGTAATCATGAAAACAGGCTAAGGTTTAATCAATAAAAACAGGTAAGACTGCAAAAAGCCGCCGCTTAGTAAACCAGTAAGCTGCATTTCGCTGGTAGACTTTTAGGGTTAAAATCATTGAAAAAATTAGAATCAAAATGAATTATTGACAATTCCAAAACAACCTGTTAGTTTGATGTACTACTTACCCCACTGAAATATGCTAGAGCCAACATTATAATATGATCAATTAACCAACCAAAATTTAAGCCACATAAACTAATAATTTTAAACAAATATAATGATATGCTAAATAACAGTAATCTTCAGCCATCCAAAAGTAAAAAAAAAAGACAAAAGATAAGTAATAAAGTGATGACAAAATACTTAAAAAAAAAACAAGAATAGAAATGAGATTGATGATCTGCTAGAGAATTGGAGGTGAAATCACTGTGAAGCAAGAGAGAGTGAATATGAGGTCTTGAGAATCATTCTTAAGAATAAATTTCAAAGTGAGAAGTTGCTAGCAACATAAATAAGTAGTGTATGAGAAAACTAGTGGGCAAGAGAAAGTGATAAAAAGAACCACCAAGAAGAGAATAGCTCCAGCAACAGAGAATTGCTTCAGTTCACTACTAAAATGCGCCTTAACTAACATTGAGCTTATTTAAAAGCTCAAATTCTACAGTTCTAAAGCATTATTTGGAATTGTTCTGTTTAGTAAAGCAGATAATTATTTTATCAGTTATTGTCCACAGTGTTGTAGGAGTACTATTTTTTTGGTCAAAAAATTGTTTCAGCGTTGATACTGGTATTAAATTACAAAAAAGAACATTATTATAATATGATAATGTAATAGTAAATTATAAATAATTAATTGAAAGAATGAATCTATTTACTCATTAATTAGAATGACTAAACCTTATCAAAGCATTTTTTCTAAGAAACCATCTAAACCACAATTCCATGAAAATTGACTTTTAGCTTTCATATAATTGAACTTTTCTCACAACAATTAAATCAAATGCCTTAACATTAGTTCCGTTGTTTATGCCTACTCTTGTTTCAAGAGCTTCACGTAGATGCATAGATACCTGGTTAAGCATGCATATATCATGCATGCTTATACACATGGGCGAAACTATGGCTTACATAGGACGACCCTCTTAAGTGAGGGTAAAAACAGAAAATTTATAATAAAAAAATAAAAATTACAAATAAAATATAAGATAACGTGAGACGATGATAGTCGTCGATCTTCAGCTCCTCGGATAGGCATAGACGGTTGGATGTCCGCATCATTCTCCCGGGGTGAAAAAGAGCTCGACTCCATCGAGTCCGCACCCCAGGTAACCATGCTATGATACCAAATATGATGCAATACATGCTTGAGGATCTACTCTCTCTCTATGGATCTAGGTTGAGCGGAGGAAGATCTTCCACACTAGAAATGAAGTGGACACTAGGAAGGACGAGCTGAGGAACGTTGTTGTTGGGAAGGTAACCGGAGATGGAGGCGGCACGGAGCGTCCAATGAGGGACCACGGGGTCCTTGGTCGTTGAAGTTCAATGGTCCCAGCAAGGCAATACACAATCCGGTTGACGTAGCGTTCAACGGTGACGTCGTACTCCCAATCCGATTCGTAGAAAGGGGAGAGGAAAATGTCGATCGCCCCTTGCTCGTTGTATGCGAAACCCTGGTCGACCTCAGGATCGGCCATGCACTGTAAGCATGGGGAGGAGCACGACAAGGAAGGTCAAAGAGAGAAGAACGGTGGAGAGGGGAAAAGGGTTGGGCCGTGGGCTTGGGAGGAGATGGGGTCACAATTTGGGGAGGGAGAGAGGGGAGAGGGTGAGGCTATTTTGTGAAAGGAATAAATCTAAAGTTTAATTTCAGATTCTAATAAGAATCCAAATTTAATTTCAAATTCATATTTTGAAATTTGAAATTAGAGTTTAGGAGGGAAAGGCATTAATGAGGTATTAAGTGGTGATTAAGTGGTAATTGGAGAGAGAAAAAAAGGAGGGGTGGCCGGCCATATGAAGAGAAGAGAGAGGCTTGAAATTAATTAGGTGGGGCCAATATTGGATATATTAATAACAATCAAATTTGAATTTAAATTTCAGCTTTTATTTAATTTTAAGAAAGCTTCCAAAAGTGGCATAATATGGGAGAGAAAGGGATTTGAATTTCAAATTAGGATTAAATTCCCTTAAAGAACTTTCCAAAATTGGGAAGACCAAATAGGAAAGCAAATTAATCCTAGCAATTTGAAATCCCTGTAGCTAGACCAAGGGGTGGCCGGCGGCAAGATGGCTAGGCCAACAGGGGCGATGGGATGGAGCAGGCTGGTCGGCAGTGGGCTCTAGCCGGCGGGTGGTGGCTGGGTGGGGACAGCAGGATGGGGCTAAGGTGGGGAAAATCGTGGGAGGAGCAATTTGAAATCCCTGTAGCTAGACCAAGGGGTGGCCGGCGGCAACATGGCTAGGCCAACAGGGGCGATGGGATGGAGCAGGCTGGTCGGCGGTAGGCTCTAGCCGGCGGGTGGTGGCTGGGTGGGGACAGCAGGATGGGGCTAAGGTGGGGAAAATCGTGGGAGGGGGGAGCTTGGGAGGAGCTTGAAAAGGGAGGTGGGGTAGGAGAAGATGGAGAGCTGAGAGATTCCCTCTAAAATTTCTTCCTCAAGAACTCACAAAGAGATCTTGGGAATCTCGGAACTCACAAAGAGATCATTTCCTCCTCAAGAACTCACAAAGAGATCTTGGGAATCTCGGAACTCAGAAAGAGATCCTTCTCCTCTCATGAACTCACTAAGAGATCA